GTGGTTGTGAACGAGGTGTTCGACCAGCCCGCAGGTGCCAAACCGTCAACAGCATGCGTCCAGAGCCTGGCCCTGCCAACAATCACCGCCTGGTGGAGGGAGGACCTAACCCTCTGAGTGACTGAGGCAACTTCTATACTCTAATCCTAGCACAACCAGCCGTACGTTATTCACTTTTTTTCTTTTAAAATCTCGTTTAACCTTGCTTTTGATGTTTATAGTGTCACATCCCTAACAACTAACGATTGATATCGAGTATGTTTTTTTTCCTAAATCAGTCGAAATTGTAGTTCAGCGAGTTTTTAATGGCACGATTAACTAGTAGTACGTTAAAGCGGCCTGTTTCGAGTGTTACATCCACCTCGATCCAGGAAAGGTGCTTCGCCTCTGCGTTTCGGAGCACCGTCCCCTCAGAGGCCTTCTCCCCTTCCGACTGCTTCCACCGTCCCCACCAACTTTGGAGCGTCCACTTTACATTGAAGATACTATTCTGCAGTGTCTTTATTTATCTGGCGGGTTGTAGTAGCTGTAGAGCTATGAAAAAAGCCATTACCTAACCGTCTTAGGAATAATTTTACTGAGATTTACGATGGTCATGGTAGCGCGCCGCTGGGCATTTTCATTGCAACAGACGGTGTTGACTATCCAACCTTCGTTCTAAGACTGCTAGTGTCTGTGCAACTAAAGAGTTCAACTATGTCAGGCAGTTAAGGCATTTTGATTACCCATCCAGGTACACGACTGTCGGCCTATCTTTATGAGGCATCAGCAAGAATTCTGCATCGTTTTTCTCGGTAACTCCGCCCTCTAAACCTTGACCTTTCACCTTTTCAGTGGTCTTTCTCTTACACTTTATTTCTATTCTTTGTCGTCCTCCTTCCCACAACTGTTTTCCCCCTAATCTTATCTAATTGTTCACTCTCTGGATAGTTTGTCGGCATTTCGCTCCGAATTGGACTCTGACCAGAGCCGCCGTGTCTACGGACAATCAAATACCAGTAGTAACTGTTGCAAAACCAGCCCATGTTGTTTAGAAAACGTATATTTTCGACCCTATTTTCTATAGAAAATTAGCGTAAGCCAAAGCTTATTGAGTAAATCTGCGCAGAGTAATTGTACCAGCCAGTCTGAACTGTAAGAATGGTGGACTGAACACGAATGCTCCCTTCTGCAAAGGACTCAATCGAACCGTTCCTCCAGCCAACTCATACTAGCCCAACAATCAGCTCAATCAGGTCAAGTTTTTCTTTGCTCCTCTCAGGGAAAGTTGAGACTCGACAGCTGCTGCCGCTGCTGCCGCCGCCACCAGCAGGCTAGTTATTTCAAACGTGCATAGTAGGCGCCGAATGTAGTGAAGCTCTGATCGAAATCCTTAAGTACGCTTTTGACTAGAAGTCTACTCTATTAGAATTATAGCAGCGATCAACAGTAAGCATAGTCCTGGACCGACTCATCATGCTGACTTTTTCCACAGATTTCTCAGTTACCATCGACAAGGCGTCTAGACGTTAGTGCAAATTCGATTTTTTTCTCAGAAAAACGGAAATGTGTATAGTCAAGTTGTTCTGTTGGCGCCTGTTCTTGAAAGTAGATGTACAGATATTCACACTAATTAGCTCCAAATAGTGTATTATTTAGGGAAATTTTGTAACATTTACTCAAATATCTTTGCCTTACAGGTTAAGTAATCCTGTTTTTAGTCCATTCAGATCTATTCTAGAGTGTTGGGAGGTTAAGGATACCTGTTCCTAGAACTTAGAAAGAATGTGTATGGCTCCTTAAATGTGCCAATCGGATATTCACAAAGGTGCGCATCCTAGAGTTCCATCAGGCCTACTGGCAACTGAGAAGCTTTATTGAATTCGCTGCAGCGCGACTCCCTGTGGCGGCGAAAATCATCGCCATGATTAAGGCCTACCATTGTGCCATAAATACCGGAGTTCTGGTCCAAAACGATCTCGTATATTCGATCTGGTGTTCGACAGGTTTGTCTCCTGTCGCCCATGCTGTTTACTGATGCCATCGTTTGGTTTCCTGGAAGGACCCTACATGGTTTTTACAATATTGAGATTGCACCCGGCATTGGCTGATCGATCTCGACTGCACTGCTTTTTGACCTCAAACTTTGGTAATCTACAGCCTTAATGTCATGGGTGAATGAAATTTCTAAGTGTTTTTTTAGAGTGCTGCATTTCAGAACAGGAGAAAGTTATCGAATTTACTGATTTTCAACATGAAGCATTAGATTGTTTCGAATAAATCTGACAAGACTGCTGCTGCTGCTGCTAAATAAACGGAACAAATTAGAGTTCGTCTTATGGAAAGCCTGTGCCCTCTAATGGAGTCATTTTTTACATAGAATCATTATGCGCGGCTTGTGTAATCTACAGTTTGAAGTCAGCAAATTTCCGCTGGCTGATTATCTGAACATTTTGCCTCGCCTTCACCAGTACTTAACTTCCGACTAAGTAGTATTTTCTGTTTGAAAGCATAATTACGGATTTTGGTCAGTATTGCAGAAGCTACTGCCCTCTCTGGCTCAGGGCGGGTCAGGGGGTGTTTGCTATAGAGTGCGGGCGTTAGAGCGGTCACAATTTTAATCCGAAGATGACTCAGCAAGTCGTACGAGTCTGCCCCTTCAAATTCGCAGTTATACTTGCCTTCAGATCTATACTATTTGAAATAGAAAATATCCTCCCTAGGAGCCTTTTTGATGAGTGGAGTTAATTGTTGATTATTTAGAAATTGATGGGAGGGAGTCAGTTGGGTAGCACAAGTACTGAGGGGATTAACACGTAGGTTAGTTTTTTTGCGAAGACTAGACTCATATTGCTCCCTCGTGGAGTTTACTGCGGAAAGCAGTCTTCATTGTCTGTCTGCTTTTACCTTCCGACCACCTCTTCGATCTGTTCGGTTACTCATATTGACTTGTTCCTATCTCCCCAGTCAACCCCGAGAGCCCTCAGGATGGAGTTTTGCTGCCCCTCTAAGCTTAGCATTTTTGAGTTCTTAGTCACTTCACATGCGTTCTTGGTGCCCCTTCCAATTCCTCGCGGTCGTCTTGTCCTCGAGGCTGGATCGGCAAAGGGTGCCTGGCCAAAGTCGAGGCTGAACTCCATTATCCGTTGTTTCATCTCTTGCAGCCTCCAGCAATCACTTCATGGATGCTCAGGAGAGCAGACATTTATACTCCAACGACAGCCGACGCTAGTTTGCTGTATTCGATGAACTTCAGTCAGTGTTTGAACTGTTTGTTTTCTTCTTCACGTCAGACTTATTCAGATTTATTAAATGTGATACTGTATCTCTGCCAGTCAAGACCCCGTTACTTTGTGCCTATTTTGATTAAATTACCAGAATGAATACACTACTATTTACTTGCCAGTAGTGCTTTTATTGTTCGCATTCAGGAGTCAGTCGAAAAAGCACACCGGGCAACAATTCAGGAGAAAGCGGCGTGATCGTTGGGGGAAGAAGTTTGTTTGCCCGAAGTTTCGGATTCTTTCTCGAACCCATCATCAGATGCAGTATCAGTTAAGGGTGGTGGGACTACCGGAATTGCAGTTTCCATACAAACACATGTACTCTGTAATTAGCCACTCCCATATTCATTGCTGGAGTCGTATTTTATGTGACAAGTCGGAGTCGTTAATTACCGCAATTGTCTCTTGCCGTCGATATTTGCGCTTGTGAGTAGTGGACGCTGATCTTTCGAGATTCTTAGGGGCGGAATTTAATTCTAGTCCGAACAGGCTCTACGATCATAGAATTAGTAATTACGGGATGCAAAATTCAGTATTTCGTTCTTATGACACCCTTCGATTTGTACGCATTGCAACGCGTGCGTAGGAATTTCGTCTCGTCTTACACTATGTTCGAGCTGTCTTCTGGTTGCCGACTATTAATTAACCCCTCTGCTGCAACGTTTCTCCTATGCTACCGTATGCGTCGTCGTGCTTTTCTGCTCGGGTGTGATGCCTTCGTTCTTACTGTCTTGCGAATGTTGCAAACGTTGTCAGTGGTATCAGGGAAGCTGGTGTATTACCAGGGTTGACACGTAAAGGATTTTGCAGTCTCCAGCTCGTAAACCCTGGTCAACTAGGATAGGCTTCGGTGGTTATGGGTACGCATTTTTTGTGTCATAAGTGCAGATTACAAGTCGGCATTGCAGTGCATTTGTATTCGCGTGTTTGTGCCCGTGGGTGATGGATTTATTGAATAGACCGACGTAAATTTCCGCCTTCAGGCGGTAGATCTCTAATCCGACTTGGTGCTTTAGCTGACACCTGTTCGTCCTGTTTGGCCTTAGAAATTACTGGTATTTAGACGGAAATTTGAGTGCGGGAATCTCGTGCCCGCTTTGGCTATTAGGGAAGCTTAAGCGATCCTGACCTTCAGGCCAGGTCCTGAATGGGATGACGAAACTTTGGACGCCAGTAGAGCTTGTCGCATTACGTACCAAATACTGGGCGAAGCTGACAGTCGGACGAGAGCGTACGTCCAACGCTGCGGAAGTAGCTTCGCAACGGATAGGTAAGTATATGCCTTGGGCAAGGACACGTCTGAGTCGGTCTCTAAGTTGTTCGGTGGGTTTAGATAGCCGTGGTTGGTCAGAAATTAGACTGCCATTGCTGCGCATATGCAAATGCGTGCGAGGGGTGCATCTTTGTATCAGGCGTCCGGAGTAGGGCCATCACAGTAATAAAAGGTCAGTCAATGGGACATCGAATGCTAGAGATAGCCCCTATTCCAACAGGGAGAATACCCGTTGTAACAAAGTAGTAGGATTGGAAATCCGGAGTACGCGCGTTATATGGGTCCAAACTGCCAGTTGGAACTTCACCCTAAGCACCATAGATTCCAGCTTTCGTGGCCAAACCCGATAACTGTTTGCATTAAATGATTTTTCCAGATTAAGATGGACTGCAGATTTCGATGGTCATTGTGGCCAAATATTTAGTATGACAGATATTGACCAAGTGGGTCGTTTAAGTCAGTGCGGGCCCTAGGATCTAACGGCGGAGTAAGTAATTCCATGAAAACGACTTACAATTGTGGTCGTTTATTCTTTCATTTAGGTTTAGTTTGAACGGCAGGCTGGGAGGTTCCAGGTTCACTAAGCTTGTTAAAAACATCAAAGTAAAAGCCCGCGAGGTCTTTACTTCTATTCTGTCGTGGTTCTGAAACAGAACGCAATTCTACCAAGCCGTAAAGTCGAGCATTAACTCCCTATTGACAGGCCGCGACATTCTGGTGACGAGTGCCTTTGTTGTTTATGTAAGACCACTTTTAGAAGTTTGTCATATGATATCAGGTATGCAATCACTAGTGTGAATGCTAAGTGTGTTTTGGATCTGTTTATTTTCAGCCAGAAGCCCTCATCTTAAACCAGGAAGTTTATGTTTAAATTTGTTTGCGTCTCAAGGTCCGCGCTGATTGTCATGCAGTCGCAGTAAATATAAGCGCTGACGCCAGCATAAACCAGATTTCGTTTGTCTAGTACTGCCCAGTTGGTAAACGAAAGTGATAACAGCTTCCGTGCCGAGTTTTTGGTTACTAATTTTACAGTGGAGTGCGTAATGCACAGCAGCAGACAAAACACACAGAGCCGGAAACTCCCTGTGAGCGACTTAGACAGCCAGATTCTATCCAGCGGGGGCTAGTCTATCGAGGTAAATTTAAGCTCTGTAAATAGCAGCCATGTAAACATTGAAGAAGTCAATTTCAGCGAACCTACGTTCGTGATTAGTCATCAGAAGCGTAAGTTAGTCCATGTAGATAGTTTTAATACCAACTTAAGCTGGTGTTGACATCTTGTCACTTTCCTTTCGATTTAGTGCGTTTCAAGTTAACCGAGGGAACAGTTATTATGTCATCAGTCCGTCTTCTGTAATGCTCGAATAAATCCCAATAGATGCGAGTACGGAATCTGTAAGATTTTGCGCCAAGGCTGGGAGCCTGAATCCAACTCCCCATCTGGCTATAAAAGCGTATGCAATTGTAGAAAAGGATAAATAGAATCGCACATAAGTCATGACTATATCACAGTGGGTAGAGGTAATGATGAAAATCTTCGTCAGTGGGATCTTCAAGCCCGGCTCCATAGGGGAAGAGAAGTGAGATGCCAAGTGGAAGGAAGAGTTTATTCGGTGCAGAAATAGTGAAAATAAGTTAGTGGAAATTGAATGTCGAACGAATGCACAACCACTCATGAGAGAGCTGCGTCCAAAGTCTCACTGCGGCAGTCACCACACGAGGTCTTGTGTGAAGCGAAGCAGTTTCTGGATTTTTTGAAGCTCCTTCTCAATGTTGTTTACCGAACAAATGTTTCTAACCATTTACGCTAAGCAACGGCCTAGAT